ACACGAGAATTGGTGGGAGGAGCGTGGTGGGTTTGGTGGATTTGGTGTAATTGTGGTGGAGTCGGGCTATCTAGTACGACGTGGCAGTCGTGCCCGGACCTCCCCATACCTGACCCAGATTTAGGCTGGATATGAGGGGTGCCGGTCAGCCCGGGCGTTTGAGGCACCCGTCTGGGTCGCTCTTTTTTGACCGGTCAGTGATCGGGCCGTCCACTCGGGCATTTGAGGGTTGTTTGAGGCGCCCGGCTGTAGGTGCTCTTAAGCTGCTATATCTGCTCTCTTGTTGTGCATGCTTGTATCCATGAGGCGGTTGGATCAGTGCCAGAACGTGTCGTACCATCCATTTCATTGTTGTGCTTGTGGACATAGGTCATGAGAATCAGCAACAGCACATACATGTAGGGGCAGGATGTGATCAATACTAGCGGCTAGCTTGCAGGTTTCAGGAAGAAGTTGACACCTAGATTATATCCATGAATAATAGTTTCGGAATTGGTTTAGAGATAAGTCCATGGAATTAGGAAGTGAATTCCAATGTGTAAGTAGTCAATTAGCCATCCTTGTCCAGGTGACCAGGTTAAATCCTTCTAGGTGAGTCCTGTCAATCTATAAGCCAGGTTCAGTCAGGAAGTCTAAGTAGTCCTTATAAATGGATGATGTGTATGTGGTTCCTGTTAGGGAAATAGCAACATGTACTTCCTGGTGGTCGTGGGCCGATATATATATACATGTATAGGTGTGGTAAATATGCAGGAAAACTCTTAAAAAATGAGATATTACACGGAAAATATATAAAACTCGACCCCCCCCCTCAAGCTCAGAGTGGATCAACAACACTTGAGTTTGGAGAGAGAGAAACCCTGTTGCGCTCTAGTCTGGGCCTTTGCAAAGAAATCCGTCAACTGTAATTGGGAAGACACATACTGAAGAGCAATAACCTAATCGTGCACACCAACACGCACAAAGAAGCATCAACACCAATATGATTGGTGAGCTCATGCTTCATAGGGTCGCATACAATGTTGATAGACAAGAGTGGAGTAGGTGTGGTAACATAAACACCAAACTCGTGAAGTAACCATAGTAACCAAGTCACCCTTGCCATCAGAAGAGCCATAGCTCACAACTCAGTCTCTTCACTTGAATGGGAAACTGCAGTTTGTTTTTTCATCTTCCAGGCAATAAGAGAACCACCAAGAAAAACATAGTAAGCAGAAAGTGACGTTGATACGAGGGATCACTAGCCCATGTGGCATCCAAATAGGCCTGAAGTTGTAATGAATTGGAGCAGGGAAAGAAAAGACGGTGAGGGATCATGCCATGAAGAGAACCCGAAGGAGGTGATATAGTGAACCAAAGTGGGAGCAGAAACAAACTGACTCAAATATGGACAGGATAGGAGATATCCAGACGAGTGACAACTAATAGACAAGACTCCCAACAAAATGACGATACGCGTCGGATCAGACATGGGGTCACCATTAGAAGCATGGAGGCGAACATTGAGCTCCATGGGAGTCTGAATAATGCGCTCATCAGTAAGAGCAGCACGAGCAAGAAGATCCTGGTATACTTTCCTTGGGAAATAAAGAAGCCATCAGAGGTAGAAGAAACCTCAATGCCAAGAAAGTAGCGAAGAGGTCCAAGATCAGACATAGGAAACTGCTCGTTAAGATGTGTTCCCAAAAGCAATGTACTTGGGGTTGTCACCAAAGATGATCATGCCATCAGCATATAGAAGAGTCCGACCACGAGTAGAAAGGCAGACAAACAACGCAGGATCCTGAGCACTCCCCAAAAAATCAGCGCAGTCACCATGGAGTTGAAGCGCTCAAACCTGGCACGCGGGGCTTGCTTAAGGCCATAGAGAGAGCGGCAAAGAGGGCAACTCATATCAGGAGGACCAGAATACCCAAGTTGTGGCTGCATGCAAACCTCCTCACGCAGCTACCTTTAAGAAAAGCATTCTTACATCAAGCTGAGATACAAACCAATGGCGAACAAATGCCACAACAAGAAGTGTGCGAACAACGGTAATATGCAAGGTTGTCAGAATCATGATTTTCTTAACTATCAGAATCGTAAAAATGTTGATTCTACTAACCAAAATCGTAGAATCAGAGTGGTTAGTTTTGATCGTAAAGTCGTAGAATCGTACAATAGAATCATGATTCTAACAACCTTGGTCATATGGACCATAGGAGCAAAAGTCCCATCGTAATCACGACCATGCTCCTGCCGAAAGCCACAAGCCACAAGACGAGTTATGTAGCGCTCCAGAGAACCATCGGAGTCGTAACCTTGTAGACCGACTTACAAGTGATGGGATGAACACGTGGAGGAAGAGAAACAAGATCCCACGCGTTTGAGCTCAAGAGCAGCAATCTCCTCTGCCTGCAACTGCCATTCGGGATGAATAACAACATCACGATAAGAAGTCGGCTCAACAACAACAGCGCCAGGAAAACCATAGCAGTCAATGGCGAGGCGAGGCCGACCACGAAGATCATAAGTCAGCTGAGAAGAAGTAGATGGCACATCAGTAGACTCATCCACTACAGGTGGACAACGAGAGTATAATAGCGAGGAAAAGAGGGGATACGAGGATAAACCATTAGAACAGACTCATGTGATGGAGATGGAGAATCCATCGGAGATGAAGATAACAAGGGAGAAGAGGAAACAATAAGAGATGGCAGTGTCGGATCTGCAACAATGAGATGAGTAGGAGTAGGATGGGGGGGGGCAAAGTGAGAGGTGTGTAAGGAAAAGTGAGGAAAGAGATATTGTCCACTGAAAAAGATGGTCACATCTGAAGTCACATCCTGAGAAACAAGCATTCGACGACAGACATGATCCCAACAATGATAGCCTTCATGCTCATCGCCGTATCCTAAGAAGACACTCTCGACTGACTGAGCGGTCAGTTTGGTGCGTTTATGCAGGGCGACAACATAGCAAACACAACCAAACAAACGATGCGGCGAATAATCAGGAGAACTATCAAAAAGATGCTCGAAAGGAATGCCACCCTACTGAGCAGTTGAGGGTTTAATGTTGATGAGATAGGTGGTAGTGGAAACAACCTCAGCCCAAAAGTGAGGCGGAAGAGAGGTGACGATCATTAACGCACGAGCTCTCTCAAGAAGATGATGATGCTTGCGCTCAACCATACCATTCTGAGTGTGAGCACCAGTAAAAGAGAACTGAGTAAGAGTACCCTGCTCAACAAGGACACGATGCAACATCTTGGAGATATACTCTCCAGCAGAGTCAGCACGAAAACACATGAATAGGCATAGAGAACTAAGTGTGGACCATGGCAGGAAAATGCTTATATAGAGAGCTCATTGCGAGAAGACATAAAATAAAGCCAGTGTAGCGAGAGAAATCATCGATAAAAATGATATAGTATCGATGGCCCCCTTCCGAAGCGAAGGAAGCCGGACCCCATACATCGGAATGGACTAAATCAAAAGGATGTTGAGACACTGATTCACTAGTATTAAGGTAGTTGAATCTGTTGCCAAGCCTACAACCCTGACACTCGAAGAGACGTCTACTGGGACAGACCCCAGAAGACCTCGGCGAACTAAAGGCAACATACGAGAACCACAAAGATGACCGAGTCGATGATGGCACTGTTGGAAGGAGCCGGTAGCTGAAGCAACAGAAGTAGAGGGACTGGCAATAGTGGTGGCAGTGAAAGGGACGTGAAGCCGGTCTAACTCTCAAAGACCTTGAGACTCACAGTGGCGAGGGCCAGCCCCAATCCGTGTGTCTTTCTCGTTTAAATTTCTCATCCTAGTCTATATCTATTTGTACTTAGGTTCAAAACCCCTTATGAATTAGTCTATTCCTCAAGAAACCTTGTTCTTTCAAGCCAGGCTGTTTGGTCATCTTCTGTTGCTAGTTACCCTGATGCATACTTAGGTTCACATCATTTGTGGGACTACGTTGTAATGAGTCTTTTCTTGTACTTTGTTATGAAGTACGCGAACAACTTGTTTAGTCTGTACATGTGCTCTAGATAATTTTGCATTTCCAAGGGTGGATCCAGTTCATAAGATTATTTTGCTCACAGCATGCAACTGCATGCGAATTTAGGTATCACTTGTCCAGTTTTTTTTCTTGGGATGAAGCATGTTCATTCTATTAATCAGAGTGCCGAACAGAATCGCTGGCTACAAGCGTACAGGTGAAGGTAGGAACACCGCCCAGCTAAGGTTGAATGCCTCATGTGCTGACCTATCATTGCATGCTTAAGTCACGGTATATTTAGGGCCGGTTCTTTTGGGGCCATAAGCCTCAAAAGAACTGGCCCTTAAGAGGTAGGAGATGCCACCTCTAGAGATTGGGAAGTGGAGTGGTAAATAGGTTAATTGTGGTCCCAACAGTAATCATGAGGTTTGCTATATATTTTTAGGAAGGAGGATAGCCCCTGGCCCCTCTGCATCATTGTGATGCATACGACCACAATAATCATGAGGTTGCTATTTGAGAGGCTCACCAGTGAACACACACATTATACTTCTGTACTCTGTTTTTCTTCCAAATTTCTGCTGATATTTTTCTTATTCGGCACCTCTTTATTGATTGGTTTTTATGTGCTTGAGCTATATATATGGATTCAAATTGTTACATCCAGGAGTAGATTATGACTTCGATGAGCTGTTTTCCTCTGACATGCTTATGCAAGTTTTTTTTTTCGAAAAAGGGGAAACACCCCGGCCTCTGCATCATCATGATGCACACAGCCATCATGCTTATGCAAGTTAATAGTCATTGATGACTTGTGTCTACTGCATATATTTTATTCAGTGAGTAATAGGGATTCACAAGCATGCTTATGCAAGTTAATAGTCATTGATGACTTGTGTCTACTGCATACATTTTATTCAATTAGTTTTAGGGATTCACCCAGCATAACAAATTCCTGCGGGGCAAATCTAAGAACAATGCACAGAATTGTGTTTAATGCTTCTTCTGTCTGTTCATAGGCAATGGCACTTGACCCTGGTAATGCAACCTTGCTTTCAAATAGGAGCCTATGCTGGCTCTGCCTCGGTGATGCAAAGAACGCCTTGAATGATGCTCAAGCTTGCATTATGATGCGACCTGGCTGGCCAAAGGCCTCATATCGTCAAGGAACTGCTCTAATGTTACTGAAGGTGTGATAACATGTTGAGTTCAGTTCTATATTTTCTGTAGAAAACCTTTTTTGAATTACAAGTTATGCATTTTATGCTGTAATCCCTTTTTATGTATGTATAATTCAAACTCATTGTCTTCAGGACTATGAAAAGGCATGTGGTGCATTTCTTGATGGTCTTAAATTGGAGCCTGGGAACATAGAGATGGAAGATGGATTACGGTATCCTCTTTGTTCCTTTTGGCTACATTGGTGTCTAGTGTACAGCGATAACCTCTCAATGATCTTTGTTTCCTTGTCGCTACGATGTTTCACTTAGAGAGCCTATAGGCATATTTACTTATCATTCAAATAAAAATGTGCAGGCAGGCTTTGGAATCCTTGAAGATATATCGCAGTAGTCGTGGGCAAGACTAGCTGGATGAGCATCATCAAGTAGATGTGAGAAACTTGTAGTTACCAGATTTACACTGTTCACTGGAGAGACGGAGGTGCCCTGTTTTTCTGTCTCATAGGGGGTAGCTAAAGGGTTTGAATCAGACAAGTAGATTGGGTAGTTTGGATGGCCTTTCGCTGATCATCATCAGCTATATGGTGAGAAACTATGAAATACCTTCCTCACTGGATGGTCGAGACCGTTCTGCTGATTGCGATTTCAGGCGCAAATGCTGTTCAGAGTGCAGCATTTTTTTTCTATGGTTCCGTGGATAGGGAAACATTTTTACCATGGACATTCCTGGTAATAGCCTCTTAACTGACAGTATTGCCAGATTGACGTTGAATGCCTGTGTCTTGCTTCAGATCTCTTGTCAAGCTAAAGATCATTGCCCATAGACTTTGATCAATGTGGGTGGGGCATAGGGCAAGTAAACCCGAACCTTGGAGCTTGCATGGTCATGATTGTTAGGAGACTTTGCTGACGACGAACTGTTGAGCTTTACAATGATTTGTGCCAATGTATATTCTCTAGAAACTGGTATGTGTAGTGTAACAGTATAGTAAAGATGTTCCCTCGGAAAAAGAGAAAAACAGTGGTACTAGTCAAGATGAACAATCCATCACTAGTTGGGGCCCGTAAATGTATTGGATGTGCTTATTTTCAAATAAACTTTAACGGCTATTACTATGACCAAATTAAACGTGTGAACTAACCGTTTTCTTTTAGCGGCACTAATGGTTGGGCCGATAGGGGGGTTGTGCTTCCACTCTTCCAGCCCATTGCGAAACAGCCCCTAGGTAATTTTTTTTTGAAACGAGGCAAAAGATTTACCATTTTCATTGAATAACGAGAAGAGTTTGTGTTCGTACATAACAGCCCCACAAAAATAGGAAAGGGGCAAGGCCTACTCTCGGGGCATCAAATTACACAAATGTCTAGCACCCGTCAGGGCCCAGATAGACGCCTCCTCCTTGATAATCCGCACGATCATCGCCACCGGTGAGGTCTTCGTCCTGAACACTCGTGCATTTTGCTCCTTCTAGATCTCCCAGCTAACAAGATGAAGACAGGAGGCCAAGGCTTTCCGCGGTTGTGTGTTGCTGGCGAGGACCCCCTCCCACCACGACCGCATCGTGGCGTAGTTCATCCAAGGAGCGGTGTCAACATCAAGGTGCAGCCAAGCAAGAACCTCCTTCCAAACCCGAATGGAGAAGCGGCACTTGAACAGGAGGTGCGCCGCGGACTCTTGCACTTGGTTGCAAAGAGGGCAACGGTCACAGTTTGGCCACCCACGACGGTGGAGTCGGTTTGCCGTCCAGATCCTATTTTGCGTGACCAACCCCTAGATATATCGTGTCTTTTCTTCGGGTTTCCCTATAAAACGGGAAATGTTATCTTCGGGTTTCCCTTTCAAGGATAATGCTTGTAGACGGCGTGCCGGCCGAAACTTCAGCCGGCCGCACACACAGTGTTCAATTCCTCCACATCATACGCCCTGTGATTCGCACACTCAACTTTTTTTCGTTCTCTCTGCTTCATCTTCTTCCACCTCTCTATCTCTTATCCATTCTCATTTTTTCGTTGCTCCCC